CGATGAGCGATTGAGTGAGTCTACTATTGATCCCAGAACGAACGTGACGGTGTACTTGTCCATGCTCTAGCTGGAGATTCATTCATAACCTTTCCCTTCACCTGACTCGTCTACGAGCGGCTCATGAAGGTTAAAGCGCCGTATCTTCCCATGTTGAGATGGTGATGAGATCCGTGAGAGCAGTGGCGTGAAGATAATAAAGAGAGAGTGTGATGCTTGCTGCTTGGGTTCGGTCACCCACTTGTTGAGCAGAGCTGATACTGCTCACGTTCGGAGGATGAAAGTGCACGGACCCGTAACAGACCCACTAACGAGGGCCAGAGATCCACTGTGGGCTGGCAGGTGGGGAGCCTTTTGTCTGATCGCTGCCAATCAACAGAATCGATGCTCCCTGCCTGTTTTCCGAACAAAAACTTGATTGTCGTTGCTGGTCAAACATGTGCCAGTACAAAGATCGGGAGACAATTCGAGCACACGCATCCATGGAAAGCCCATATGGCGAAATATCAGGAGAATGAACCTGGACGCGGTTGTGCGCCACGTTCGTTCATTATTCAGCGCTCATTTAAGTGGGTGAGCGCTGTCTGTGTACACGCGCGTGCGCACAAGAGAGAGAGAGAGAGAGAGAGAGAGAGAGAGAGAGAGAGAGAGAGAGAGAGAGAGAGAGAGAGAGAGAGAGAGAGAGGGAGGGAGTACAAGAGAGCAAGACGACGTTCCTTTTTGGTCAAGTCCTCAAAATTTACGGAATTTCTTTTCCTTTTATACCACTAAAATGGAGATATTTCCGAAACTGCCATCGCGGAGTTCGGGAATTCCAAAATTGACATCGTATTACCTTTCAAACTGTGCGGTATCTCTCTACAGCCTGTGTGCCCAGTTAGTCGTGCAAATGAACTCACAAGTTTGAGAAACTTCATACTAGTAGGAAAGACTGATTAAGGAAGGGATGCTTGAGTGAAGAGAGAAAGAAAAGGGGCGAAGAGATCGAGAAGAGAAGGAAAGGACGGAGGGCAAAGGCTGCCTATCGTGGTGCGGCACTGTGAAGCAAAGTTTTGAATTGCAGAACATGTATTTCCTCACCAAATAGAAATTTGAGCGAGGAACAGGGCGTGCATGCACAAATTCCGAAACTGCCCTCTCAACTCCAAGACTAAGATTGCAGCCCTTTCAGTAATTTGAGTTTGAATATTCTGTTCAGCAACGATTTTGGTCGGCAAACTCAAGAGACCCATGTACAGTCCAGACTCAGCAGTGAACTTGCGGACTCACAATCGAAGAACCAGTAAAGGATCTCAGAGTCAGACTTGAGAAAAAGGGCAGAACCTTGCAGGAGCAGAACCATCAACTTCTCGTGGGGTTCTGGAAAACAGTCCTTGCAGGTTTAAGCCACAGCACTCAGCAAGCCTCAAGTTTGGTGTGGGGCTAGAAAATATTGTCTGCAGATGTAACACATTTGAAGGAAGTGTTTCAGAAGAACTCAAGCGCCATCAGCAGGCGCGGCGAACTTAGGGACTCAGCCCGCTGACCGCAGTAAACTTGGACCAGCAAAACATATATCAGCAGGGAACAGCAACAACAGGCTTGGGGCTCAACCTGCTGGACTCAGCGGACTTTAAACCAATCAGCAGACCCTGCAGACCAAGATAATGGACTCACCTAGGCCTCTGGACTCAGGTAGGAGTGTGAGCTGAGACTTGAGCAGACTCAGACTCGGTAAAAACAGCACCAATTTATCAGTCGGGGACACAGTTAAGTCTGCAAACTTGGAGTCAGTAATAACGGCAGCAACTCTTAATTTCAGACAACAGTCAAATAGCAGGTTTAGAAGACACGACTCAGGGACGGGATAGCAAACTGAAAAATTCTGGAGGAAGCAGACCCAGCTTAGCGGACTTAAGATTCAGTGTCGATGGACTCATTTTGGTACCCACAGGCCCGGTGGAGAATATCAGCGGCATTCGGTCTGCTATTAGCGGAACTTTGAGGAGCGTTTTGATCCCTAAAAGCGGAAACTGTTACTGACGCTGCAGGGTGAGAAGAGGAACTAACTACGGAAACGAGAGGAGAGTGGTTGGCACTAAGACGAGGAGGACCAGTCCTAGTTCGGAGGTTCCATGTGTGGTCTGACAGACTTTGAAGCGATGGAGTCGATAGTCATAGAATGATAGTTTCATCAACCCTGCTCATTCTTTCTCACATCTTGTCGTTGTTCGACTCTTCACCTTGGTTTGTCGGGACTGACCCATTGTTTGCAGGTTGCAGGAGCCCGGAATCGGCCCTCCCGCGGGTGACAGACCGGGGCAGGATACAGGGTCGGGTCCGCAGGCCGGCAGGATACAGGGTCGGGACCCAGGCTGGCCTCCTTTAGGGCCAGGACTAGACCACGACTTGAGCCTGCATCTAGTAGGACCAATGATCAAACTTGAGATGGAACGACCGTAGATGCAGACAAAGGGGACTTCCAGTACGCCCAGCTCGTGTGATCTTGCTCGGTCTCTGTCTCTCTGTTCCTTTGCACACGATGAATGATGTACGATGGTCGATGCATGAGTGATCTGTTGCCCTTACTTGTCTTGGTGTTACCGATGAAAGAGCTTTACTGAACTCTCACACTGAAGAAGAAGAAGAAGAAGAAGAAGAAGAAGAAGAAGAAAAGGAAGAAGGTGTAGCCTTACTCCCTTCGCAGCAATGGCGGGCTTGGTAGTAAATGATGGGCTGGCAGCGATGGCGGTCTGGCGTGATGTCGAGGCAAGCGGGCACAGCATCAACAAAAACGGGAAGCCGCACGCAAGGAGGATTGTCGCGGTGCAGGAAGCTTTCGTTAGTTAGATTGGGGGGGTGTACGCAGCAGCGTATGACTTTCTTTTTTATTTTTTCCTTTGGGTAGCAGCGGAGTTAGTTAGATCAGGGGCCGGGGTACGCAGTAGTAGTGGTAGCAACAGTGGTAGTAGAACCAGCCGTTGCGGAGGATCGCCGAAATCGAGGTAGTAGTGGTCAATCATCGAAGCAGGAGTCGTCATCGTCGATGTAGTTGTTGTAGTAGCATTTTGTCATCGTCGTCATCATCATAGTATTGGTTAGTAATAGTAGTTGAAGGCTCTCTCTCTCTCACTCTCTCTCTCCCTCTCTCTCTCTCTCTCTGTCTCTCTCTCCCCCTACCCCCCCAAAAACCCAATGAAGAAAGAAGGAGAAGAAGAAGATGAACAAGGACGAAGAAGAAGAACAACAACAACAATAAGAAAGAAGAAAGCTTTAGGTTTTTATGACAAACCGTGGAATAATCTCGCTACCGATGAAAGAGCTTTACTGAATCTTGGTCCACCGAACTCTCACTATAAAGAAGAAGAAGCAGCAGCAGCAGCAGCAGAAGAAGAAGAAGAAGAAGAAGAAGAAGAAGAAGAAGAAGAAGAAGAAGAAGAAGGTGTAGCCTTACTCCCTTCGCAGCAATGGCGGGCTCGATAGTAGACGACGGGCTGGCACGATGTCGAGGCAAGCTGGGGCACAGCATCAACAACAACGGGAAAGCGCACGCAAGGAGGATTGCTGTGGTGCGATTCAGGGGATACTCACACTAGGACTTCTAACTTACTTTTTGACGTAATTGCAGCCAGATACATCCACGTCTGGCTGCACATGCGGTCCGATACATTTACGATGGTGGTAAAGTGAGTACGGCCTCAATGCGTCCAAGATCGGTCAGCAGACCCCACGTTTTGTTTCAAATGACGCGGCTGATCTAGGCCAGAGGCCCGGAATCCCCCCCCCAGCCAACAAAACGCCTGGTAACTGCCCCCATGCAAAATGCACTGGGGTGGACCGGGAGCCTACCGGCCCGGTCCACTGGCCGGTCCAACTGAGAGGCTCCCGGTCGAGGGAAGGCCCCCAAGTTCATCTGTGGACCAGTCCTGGGACAACACATTTTCTTACAGAATTTTTAATTTTATGATTTTTTTATTTAGGGCCCCACCGAAGTCACCGCCAATTTATGGAATATAACGGCTGAGTTATAAGTTATAAACGAATAATGACGCCCGTCAAGCGTTATATTCGCATACAACACCCAGGCATTATTTTCGGGTGAAGACTGTAGTAGCGACATGGGGATTTCCGTCTCTTATTATTCTGTCGTGCTTTGATGTGGTCCGTGTGGATCTTCTTTGTTGTGAGATTTTATGTGCACACAAGCTTGTGTTGTGGTCGCTGGTGTCGTTGTAGAAGGCATGGGTGTGCATGTTGCTGCCCTTGGGCGAAAATTGATGTTCTATTGCGCTGTGTTTACGTGACCAATTTGCATGAAGATCATCAATGAAGACTAAAGAGCAGCGTGCAGTGGTGAATCTAGGTACCTATTCATTTCTGTTTCATGCTAACGTGCATAAATTTGCCACCGTAGGACCGGCCTTCAAACCACCAATACCTTTGAGCCGCCTCCCGAACGTATCCGCGGCCAGTGCCCGATGCTGTGGGAAGGACAGCCGAAGAAACTGCAAATCGAGCTCAAAAAAAAAAAAAAAAAAGATGAGGGGCGGGGATCAATCTGGCTCCGCTACTCTCCAAATGAGCAAAATGAGAAGGAATCCTCCTCTAGAAGTGGGGAAGATACACTGCCATATTTTTTTCTTCTATTCATGTCGTAAGTACTGGAGCGGGGCCTCTCTCCACGGCTCGCGATTACATAGAAAGAACGTATCCAGGGAATATACCGCTCTGTTTCTTTTTTTTTTTTTGGGTTTTTGCATGTCATGAATACTGGAGCGGGCCCTGAAGCTGTGGCAACCCTGTGGGGCCACCTCCTGGCATGCTCCAAGGTGAACAAAAAAAACTGGGAAAGGTGCTGGCGGTTTAATGGTTGTTTACGTGTTTGGTGCAACGAAAGTTCTCAGGAGTTCTGGGCAGACAATTTGAACAGTGACTTCATGTATTACCATATCTCATGGCCTGTTTTAATTGTTCTTGCCTTCCTTTCTCTCTTGTATTTTCTGTCATTTGCTAATTCTTAGCAACATTGAAGATGTCACAAGGGAAGCTGCAAGTACGGAGGTTACGGAGGATCTCTTAGGTGGTAAGTGTTTGCTGCAGAGGATTTCATGGATGTGGATTCAGAAAACCTTATATGCAAGTTTTCACTTGACAGATCTTGCATCCGCTGTCTGGATACCATCTGGATGTCTGGATTGAACCCCCACCAGGGACATTAGTCACATTACTCTTTTTTGTTTTTGAATTTCCGTTTCTTTTCTTTTCGCGAAAAGTTTTTTGATACTTTGTATGGAGCAGTGAACCCTCACCTCAGACCTGATAAATATGAGTGACGAGGTTTAAACTAATTCACCGAGCTTGTGCGACCACAATTACAGTACAGCGTTTCTTTATTTTTTGCTTCTCTCTTTTCTTTTTCCCTTTTTTTTTTTTTTTTTTTTTTTTTTCCCAGTACCCAGCAAAATGGGAAAATCAACATATTTTATTTTTTGCTTCTCTCTTTTCTTTTTCCCTTTTTTTTTTTTTTTTTTTTTTTTTTTTTTTTTTTTTTTTTTTTTTTTTTTTTTTTTTTTTTTTTAAAACAGGCCCATATGACAGCTTGAGATGCTGGTAGGAGCAGTCGCCTTATCCCAGGGTGGCTCCTTCTATTGGTGGGGAGCAGCACCTGCTGGGAAGCGGGCCCAGCGTCCCATTATTACAATTATTCAATATAGCATCCATATCACAGCCAATTGGACCCTGTAGGGGGAGTTTGCGATGACCGACCGCAGGCCGGTGCTGATGTGCATACTGGGATGCCTAATATTGATGTCCGACCCTCCCCCATTTATCGTACTGACTAGTGCTGGCCAACTTCGTTTATGCAGGAAAAGAACACTCAGCTCCTAACGCTCGAGACCTTTGATTCTAGAAGCACATAGATTCTGAAGCCTCCTTATGGTCCACTCTTCGTCCATGAGACCGTCTGCCAGGTTGGTCCTGGGTGAAAGTCCTGCTTGAGTTCTTGTTGTTGTCTCCGAGGTTGTAGCCTGTGGCTGTTGTCCACTGCCCAGTGGGGGTGAAGCTCGTCCACAGTAGGAACAGATGGGGGAAAGCAGCCCTTTCTGTTCCAAGCTGGTCCTGGACACCAGCCAATCCGGCGTGGGGAGACATCGGTGCAGGATCTGACACTGTAGTGATCTAAGGTTGGTGGGCATAATCTTAGAATACATGTGCCAGGGCACGTTCTGAACTAGAGTCGGGTCAATGGGCGAGTCCCTGGTCCATCTTGCAGTGATAGCAGGCTCCATCGGCTGTTGTGGTGTCGATTGTCTGTAGCCCCCTTTGACCGTGTAGCCCCATGTGTGCATCGGTTTCCCGCTCTCCCATTCCCACTCATCAGGTTGAAGGGCAGGGCTGCTATCGGAGTCGAAGGCTTCTCTCAATATACCTCCCACTACCTAACTATCTATGCCAGGAACGACTTCAGCCTAACGGGTGTAGCCAAGCCTTTGTCTATCTACCCTGCTCTCGGTGGGGAGTAGTACCTAGGCTCCTAACCCCCAGCAAGCGATGGCAGGAGGGAGGGTGAAGGGAACCCAGGCGCCAACTATCCCAGCTGGTAAACAGCAAGCCCACCGCAGGCGACCCTGGCGGATTGGACCCACGACCTCCACTTGCATGCATGCTCAACCAACTAAACTAGGCCGCGAACCTGGTACCAGACAAATTCTTCTTTATGTCCCATGGGCCTTGGACATTTTTCGATCGTGCCCTAGCCCATCCTTTGTCTATCTACCCTACTCAATGGAGGGAGTAGTACCTAGGCTCCTAACCCCCAGCAAGGGATGGCAGGAGGGAGGGTGAAGGGAACCCAGGCACCAACTATCCCAGCTGGTAAACACCAAGCCCACCGCAGGCGAGCCTGGCGGATTGGACCCACGACCTCCACTTGGATGCTCAACCAACTAAGCTAGGCCACTGGCCTGGGACCAGACACATTCTACTTTATGTCCAATGGGCCTTGGACGTTTTTCGATTGTGACCTTCTGGTATTCTGGGTATTTAGGCGATTCCCAGATTAATGTTTACTGGTCGCACATGCTTGTGAGGTATGTTGTGATGTATCAAGTTGAGACTTCCGATTTTGAGTTTAACACGGAGTTAGCTACCAGAACTCCTTGCAGAGTGTCTGCTCATCGTCCCTCAGTGTGTGTGTATGTGTGTGTGTGTGTGTGTGTGTGTGTGTGTGTGTGTGTGTGTGTGTGTGTGTGCGTGTGTGTGTGTGTGTGGAAGTATGCTTAAATTAAGCACATAGCTGATAGCTTCAGCATGCAAAAGAATGTGTTTCATACCAACACACTGACGAGGAAGCATCCTTAGACTAAGGCACAGTACATCATCATTTGTACATCCTACTTTATCACCATAGCAGAGACTCAGCTATACGGGGAACTTTTTGCATGTCATTGGGGACGACACATACTGAGACAACACTTTCATGATTATTCTGAGAATATGGCAAATGCAGCTTTCGGTGAAACGGAAAACCAGAGCCAAATATCCAATTCAATACCAAGCAATCAAAACTCAGAGACGATTGGGGAAAAAACAAAACAAACAAACAATAGCGTGAACGGCCGATTCAAGATGATCCTGTCATTAACAACGTCGTTATTAAACACCACCCTGCCCAGGCCCAGAGTGTGCTCAATCATCAATGAATACATAAGAAACTCCCAACTCAGACCTCTATTCCCTTAGCACACCATACCTCATAACATTCTGGCCTTGTACAGTCTCGATCCCATCACGTTCCTTTTCCTGCGATGTTTCGAGCGTCCCACTGACAAATCACTTTGTCACCTTTCTCCATCCCCTCACATCCTCAAGCTATCAACTCATTTATGTTCCCCCCTTCTCATATTCTCCCTTCACATGCTCATGCTTTTGACTGCGATTTTCCCACCTAGGGAGAGTTCCCACTTCAAGCGCCCCTGAGCTAGGAACGAATCGATCTAACCGCCTGACCTTATTTTATCATTCACACAAAAATCAAATTCAACCCTCATGCATCTTCTCATATTTGCACTTTCCCCGTCAGTGACCAGTGACTTGACTTCGAATCCCATCGCCACATTGTACAAATCATAATTACAGCCCCCGCGCCGATCACCATGCCTCTCTTCACACCTCCTCCCCATACTTCCAGATCACCTCGTCAGACTAATCTACACATAATTACAGCCCCGCGGTCGTCTATACACGTCTCCGTCTTCACAATCGCTCCATCAACCATCCACACAAGCTTCGACGTACGATGTCGCCCCTGTCCTTCTGATATCTTCACTCCTTACTCGAAAACATTGTGTAAATCAATCCCCATATACACCCAGTTTCTCAAAAAAAGAAAAAGAAAAAGAAAAAACAAAACATCCCACGATCCCAGGACATCATCAACACATAATCACGGCCACAACACACATTAATGCCGATCAAAGCATGTCACAACATCTGAATCATCAGCTGAAGAATAGTATCCCATGGCACAGTAAATGACCACTATTTTACCAGACATAAGGTAAGTAGTCTCATTCTTCGAGCAATCGTGGATATCCTATGTGGCTATTCCCTTAAACATGTTTTTCGCCAACCTGCCACTAAATTAGCTCTTCAGAAGATATATAAAACAGCACCATCATTTTACACGACGTCAAAGAAATGAACGAACCGTAGGATATATGTTTCAGTGGCTAGGAGGGAGGGAGGGAGGGAGGGAGGGAGGGAGGGAGGGAGGGACGGATGAAGAAAGGGATGAAGAGGGGGAGGGACTAGCAGATACAACTTACGGGATGCATGGGGATATTTTATGAGAAAGATCGCCATCACCTCCGGGTTCGGCTCTATTGGGTTCTCTTCCGCCAAGTGAGCCTCCAGCATCTCCTCACAGCTGAGGGGGTTCTCCATCACACGAGCCTCGCCTTGCACGATATCACGACTTTTGGAGGAATAACGATAACTGCAACTGATAGCACGAGAGAAAAGCTTCCAGTGATGGCGGGAAGCAGTCTACACGGCTTGGAGACAAACGCGACGGACACTGTGCTGGTCAATTAGAAGATAGCCGACGGGAGATCAATCATCACCGATGAGACTACTCGACGCCTCTTCTTACTCATACATCTAGAGCCCGTGGATTAGCTGAAGAACTTCGACGTGACTGCAAAACCCCTTCAAATTAATCGCACGGCTCATTCACCTGGGGAAAAGGGATTAGGCATCTCGGTTTTGCAAGGATCTGGGTCCTCGACAGGCCTAAGGGGCCCCTGGTACAGATGTGCCCGCCCTAAGTGAAGGCGGGCCTAACAAATGTCGAGAGGCCCATTTCTGTCAATTTTGTATTGGGGGTCCAGGCAGTCGTGACACGCCGGTTGGTCGAGGGAAACACAGGCCGAGCTGCAAAGATATTCCACGCCCTCCAGGCCTTTCCTGAATTGCAGGCTCTGGGCCAGAATCGCAGCTTCACACACAGACAGTTGGGAGGCCCAACCGAACGAGGCCCAGCAGCTGCAAAAGAGGCACAGCCTCCTGGGGCCTACCGGAAGCTTCTGGGCAGAGGCCCAGCCCAGCCAGGCCGCCGAGGCAGGCAGACTCTTTCCATATAGGAAAGAGCTCGCTGCCTGGAGGCTCATTCAGGAACTTGCTCTCTGGCGGCAGCGCTGTTGGAGCAATCGCTCGCGTGCTGGCTGCTAGCGCTGGAGCGAGGTACTGCACACGTGCGGTCGTGTGGTGAAGCAGGGCGCTGCTGAGGGCAGTGCCATAGCCCAGCCTCCATTGCTGGCTGAGGGCTTGGACATACAGTGAGGCGCAGAGGTGGTCTTCGGTTGTACAGAGGGAAGACGTGGGTGTAAGACGAGGGAAAGAGAGAAGGATGATGATGATGTGAGGGCACATACCTGGTATTGGCTATGGTCTGCGTCTGGGCGACATCTTCAAGTACTTCGTTGGCTGCTGACATCAACAGTTGCATTGTCAATTAGTAGGCAGATAGTAGCTGTGTAGGACGTAGGCTGGGCGCCGAGCGCCAAGTAGGGAGAAGGTCCT